ACTCCAGGAGAGGTTTCTGCAAGGTGAAATTTATAGACGCCTGGATGTGTCTCAGTATCATGAGAGATTTAGCAATTGGAGAATCAGGGCTGGAATATCCTAGTGTGCTCAGAGGGAAGGATCAAAATAAAAAATAACACAATTATTAACTCCATGGAAAACAAAAGTTTGTTCAAGAAAACAAGTCATCATCATTTACTGCGTGACTCAGCTATAAATAACTTTTATCAGCATGATAACGTAAACTCTGGAAAGTTATCTAAGTGCATTACAATATGACCATACCAGGAGGAGAGAGGAATGGGAAGAATGGAATGTGGTGGGGACAGTGGCTGAAAGAGGATAGAATCCTTATCTTTCATAACAGGAAGTACATAACGAATGCCTAAAATGAAAAACAACCAAGAAGCCATACAAGGAAGCTATTTGGAGATAATGGAAGCAGCTTTGGGTTTCTTTCTTTATTTTTTTAAGTTTTTAAAAAATTGATTTTAGAGAGAGAGGAAGGGAAAGAGAAACATCAATCAGTTGCCTTCCAGATGTATCTTGACTAGGGATTGAACCTGAAACCTGGGAATGTGCCTTGACCCAGAATCAAACCCGCACATAGAAATATGCTCAATCAACTGAGTCACACTGGCCAGGGATTCTTTTCTTTTCTATCTTTTTTTTTTTTTTAAACAACAACTTTGTACAACAATGTAACTCTTGAAATTTGCACTTATATGAGTACATCTGTGGAGCTGATAAAATTTTGGAGCTGGAATCCCTAGCTTACAGGGTATGAGTGTTTTTTTAATTTCTCTCCCCTCCCCCCCCACCTCAAAATTATCATGGCAAATCATAGGAAAACTTTGGAACATCAGGAACAAAGAGAGAATCCTACAAACTTTCAGAAAGAGAAATCACAAAGACACATCAGAATGGCACTGGATGTGTCAATCTTTAAAATATGCATTTACGATCATATTTGTTATGTTTTTATCCAACATTTCTAGGTATTTGTGTTGGGAGTGATGGTGGTTCAGTTAATAGTTTGTCTTATTTCCAGAAGAGCTAAAACATGAATTCAATAAAGGTAAGGACCCTGTTCATGCATTTATTTATGTTCCTGTAAGTGTCTACAGCATATTAGGTGCCAGAATTCCACATTGAATTTTAACCTAATAATGCTTCATTATTTTTCATGGCTGCACAGTATCCCATTATATAAACATATTCAACCTTATTGATTAACTCATTGGCTCTTTCTAGTGTTTTGTGTGATTAAAATAATACTGAATTAAATTCCTCATTGATAATGATTAACGAACTTTCTAAAAGGATAGCCAGAGGATACATTCTTACAAGGGAGTTTATTAGTCCAGAAGGAATAATATAAATGGTTACGGGCCAAGGTAGTAAAGCGAGGCTCAGAGTGGACAACACTATGGAAAATGCCCTTTTGGGTGGACACCTATCATACCCAGGCACCAATTGATTTGAGGGGAGGGAATTTCTCAAGAAAAAGTGAGACTGGGTTTCAGCCTATTATACACGAGCTTGGTTATTTTAATTCTGAAAGAATAAATAAATAGATTTCCCTAGAAATGGGTACATCGGGAGAACAAGATGGCATGGAAGGAATATGAGCGTTGGAATTTCTAACCTTATACATATACTAGAGGCCCAGTGCACAAAATTCATGCATGGGGGCAGGGGGGTGTCCCTCAGCCCAGCCTGCACCCTCTCCAATCTGGGATCCTTCTCACAATCCAGGACTGCTGGCTCCCAACTGCTCACCTGCCTGCCTTCCTGATTGCCCCTAACCACTTCTGCCTGCCAGCATGATCACCCCCTAACCACTCCCATGCCAGCCTGATTGATGTCTAACTGCTCCCCTACCAGCCTGTTTGCCCCCAACTTCCCTCCTCTGCCAGCCTGGTCACTCCTAACTGCCCTTCCTGAAGGCTTGATTGCCCCCAACTGCTCTCCCTTGCAGGCCTGGTCCCTCTCAACTGCCCTCCCCTGCTGGCCATCTTGTGTCCACATGGGGGCAGGATCTTTGACCACATGGGGCAGCAATCTTATGTGTTGGAGTGATGGTCAATCTGCATAATACTCTATTAGATTGGTTAGAGGCCTGGTGCATGGTTGGGGGCCAGCTGATTTGCCATGAAGGGTTTCCCAGATCAGGTTGGGGGTTCCTTTGGGGCGTGGGGTGGCCTGGGCAAGGGGCATGTGGTGGTTTGCAGGCCATCCACGCCCCCTGGCGACCCAAGCAGAGAATTTATTTACCTTCTACAATTGATACTTTGTAGCCTGGAGCAGAGCCAAGCCTCCTTCTTGTTCCTATTGAGACTTATGTATCTTATATAATTGAAATTTTGTAGCCTTAAGCAGAGGCCTGGGCCAGCCAGGGTGTGCAGAAAGCTTGGCTTTCTCCATTGCCAGGGGCAACCCTAGCCTGCTCTCTTTAGCTCCATGGCTGCCACCATTTCTGTTTGGATTTGTCTACCTTCTATAATTGAAACTTTGTAGCCTTGAGTGGAGGCTTAGGCAGCAAGGGCAGGTGGAAAGCTTGGCTTCCTCCATTGCGTGGGAAACGCAAGCCTCCCTCCTGCTCTCTGTGGCCCATAGTCAGCTTGGCTGGGTTTATTTGCATACTCACTCTGATTGGCTGGTGGGTGTGGCTGGTGGGTGTAGCAGAGTGATGTTAATTTGCATATTACTTTTTTATTAGATAGCATTACTTATTTTTATTTATTTATTTATTTATTTATTTTAAAACATATTTTATTGATTTTTTTTTATAGAGAAGGGAGAGAGATAGAGAGCCAGAAACATCGACGAGAGAGAAACAATCAGCTGCCTCCTACACACCCTCCACTGGGGATGTGCCTGCAACCAAGGTACTTGCCCTTGACCGAAATCAAACCCAGGACCCTTGAGTCCACAGGCTGACACACTATCCACTGAGCCAAACCGGTTTCAGTGCATTACTTATTTTTTAAAGTGATAACAAGGCTTATTTGTACTATGAGGTTATGGGTAATTTTTATTTCCTTTAAAAAACTTGTTTAATATTGTAGATAGTATTGTTAACAATGACAAAACAAACAAAAACAAATCCCAAACCTGGACTGAGTCAGAACTTTTTTTTCCCTAATGTAATTCACAATCTCCTTCTGAGAATAAACTAGCACACCTGATAAAATATTTAAGCAATTACTTGATAAATGTAAGGGAATTTAAGACTTGTTCTAAGAAGCCCATTCATTCCAACTGTCAGTCAAATGCATGTCTCTAATCAAATATAATTTTATTTTGTACCTAATCTAATGATTATCTATTTCTGTAAAAAAATCCCTATCAGGAGTAAATCTCTGAATTAACTTTGGCAGACTCCTTTTTCTTTGCAGCAAGACTTGTAATAAATTCTGATAAGTGGTCATAATGAACTTGCTTGGGAATGTTTCCTTTAAAATAGTAACATGTTGTAAAACCTTCCAACACCTGGTAATGTTCACCCCAGTTACTAGTCTAAAGGATGGGATTATAAATGACAGGGCTGGAGAACTATAGGAATACAATGTAACCCACTCACTAATTGGATGAGTATTCGAGTGTCTATAATCCGCTTTGAAAAGTACTTAAGTGTCTACCAAGTGCCAGGTACTGCTCTAGAATCTGCCGATACAAAAATGAACAAATGGCCGAGACCGGTTTGGTTCAGTGGATAGAGCATCGGCTTGGGGACTGAAGGGACCCCGGTTCGATTCCAGTCAAGGGCATGTGCCTTGGTTGTGGGCATATCCCCAGTGGGGGGTGTGCAAGAGGCAGCTGATTGATGATGACTCTCTCTCTCATTGATGTTTCTATCTCTCTATCTCTCTCCCTTCCTCTCTGTACAAAATCAATAAAATATATATTTTTAAAAATGAACAAATGGATTGGGAGAATAAAACTACAGTTCTCACAGTATCATACTCTTCTGCCTCTTTCTAGGTGGGCGCTTCTTTTTTTCTTTTCTTTTTTTAAACATATATATTTAATTAATTTCTTTATTGATTAAGGTATCACATATTTGTCCTCAACCCCCCATTCCAATTCCCCACCCCCACCCCCCTTATGCCCCACCCCCCTATTGTCCTTGACCGCTGGTTAGGCTCGTATGTGTGCATATAAGTCCTTTGGTTGATCTCTCCCATTTTCCTCACCCTCCCCTTGAGGTCCAACAGTCTGACCCATGGCTCCTTATCTCTGGGTCTATTCTTGTTCATCCGTCTATGTAGTTCACCATTTCCCCTAGATGAGTGAGATCATGTCCTACTGGAAATACATTTATAAGAATATATTTTTATTGACTTCAAAGAGGAAGGGACAGGTATTGATGGGCTGCCTCCTGCACTTCCCCACCTGAAGGATGGAGCCCCGCCCTTAAGTGGAATGAACCCAGGACCCTCAGTCCGCAGGCGGAGGCTCAAGAGGGGCGCTTCTTGCCAATATTCTCTTCCCGTGATTCTTTGGTGCAGAAAGCCCCGCCCACGCACCTGCCCTATGCCTAATCTCGTCAGCAGACGGACTACAACTCCCAGGATGCCCCTGTGCCTACCCTATAAGGGCACACAATTCTCCGAGGCCCGGCGAGGGCTAACTACAGTTCCCAGAGGGCTCTGCTTCCGCTCTCGGGTGCTATTGCCCCTTTCCCAGCCCGGGACGCGGTGGAAGCGAGCGACAGTGCCAGGCCCGGCTGCTCGGTGCCCTTCCTCGGAGCAGGGACGAGGCGGTGACTGGACGCGGGCGCCGAGCCCGGCGGGGAGCGCCCGAGGCCACGGTCCCCCCTGTCCGGCTCCCCTTCGCGCGGCTCTCCGCTCCCGCGCCCGCCGCCGCCGCCGCCCGGACGGCTCGGGAGCGCCTGCCCGGGCAGGGGTGGCGAGCGCGGCCACCGGGCGGCAGCGAGGCCGCGGCCCTCGGGGCGGCGGCAGCGGCGTCAGCGCTGGGGAGGAGGACGAAGGAAGATGGCGTCGGAGCCGGAGCCGGAGGGGCCGGCCATCGACCAGAGTTTGCTGGAATGTTCGGCTGAGGAGACGGCGGGGGTGAGTGCCGGCCCGGGCGGGACGTCCGGCCCTCGCAGGCCAAGCCCCGGGGGAGGACCGGCTCCCGGAAACCCCGGAGCGGCCGCCCTCTGCGACCTCCCTCCCCGGGCGGGGGCGGCCCCCTCCCTACCTCCTTCTCCTCCGCCAACAGCCCGAAGGCGGCTGTGTGCACCGGCCGCCTATTACCTACCCTCCTGCCCGGCGCCGGCGGCGCCTCATCCTCCTCCTTCCCCCAGTTCTCATTAAGCCCCCAACGTAAGGCCTTTGACCTTCATGCCAGGTCCGGCGAGAGCGAAGGAAAGCGTCTTCCTGGTGGTTCGGGGTGTCATCGCCCTGCTTTCTCTGTCTGATTCCGTCTCTTGGGATGAGCGGGGCATTGGCTCCCTGCGCGAGTCGCTACTTTGTTCCGGGACTGCGCTGACACCGGATGCCTCCCATGCTGTTCTCCCCTTGTGCCCTCTCCCCTCTCCCCTCTCCGCTCTCCGCTCTCCCCTCTCCCCTCTCCCCTCTCCCCTCTCCCCTCTCCCCTCTCCCCTCTCCCCTCTCCCCTCTTCCCTCTCCAGGGTTCCCACACAGCCTGGGTCCGTCCACAGTGCTGGTGAATGTGCGGGGAAAGTATTGTGTTTCGGCTTGTTTGCCGAGTGTGAGAAAGTCGTGCTTGGAGGCTGGGAGATAATAATAATAATAATAATAACAACAACAACAACCACCACCACCACCACCATTTTTCTAGGAGTTGGGCGGAGAGCAAACGTTATGTAACTTGGAGAGAGCAGCTTTCAACAAACAGAAGTTAACACTGTGAGGTTTGGCCGTAGCAGCGTGGGAACAGTTATGCCCCAAACTTAAACCATCCAAACCCGGGATGGCACTGAAAGCGTCCCGTGAATATGCCCGTGTGGGTAGCAGCAGGGTTGTGAGACGATTGCGTCAATGAGCTCGCTGGCATTTGGCTTCAAGGACCGGGAACACCCAATTAGAGCAGATTGTCCAGAATGATTATGAATGAACCAAAACATCCCAGGCCCCGCCAGTTTAGAAAAGCTAACGTCAACAACCTGAATGTTAGAAACGGAATTTTAGCAGAGCGCGGTGGGGCCGTGGGTCATGGAATTATTTTGGGTGAATTGAGGAGGACGCCGAAGTCAGAGTGGATGGAATTACATGACAGGAGTAGTAGAGGTGAAGAGTTTAAAGAAATACATTGTTGAATATTAAGTGTTTGCTCCTTTTTTTTTTTTTAACCCACTTGTTTCCTCTAGGCAGTTTTCATATCTGCTTAATAATTACATCCACCAAGGATTTTCAGCGCCCATTGGCCTTTCATTTATCAAAGAGATTTGAAAAAGAAAAAGCAGTGTTACAAGTAAACAGTAAAATGGTCATCATGATTTTCCATCTCCATGTCATCTTTTATTACCCCATACTGATAACTAATCTGGTATTTACCTCGAAGTAATATTTTCTTTTTCTCCCAACAAAGTTAGGGTCTGTTGGCCCAGGATTACAGGCTATGTACTCTATTTTCCCAGTTTTAAAAGTACAAGCTACCAAGTAGATTAGAGCTTCAACTTGCTGAGGTTCCTGAGGAAGCCAATTATAAAACTGGAGACAGAGACAAACTAAAATGAATTAATAAAGTTTTCTCAGGTGAGAAGTAAATTTTAGAGAGGGCAAACAAGTTCAGAAAGGAGCTATTGCAGCCTTTAGACTTCTGATACTACAGTTTGTTGGGATCACATCCATTTGAAGTTACTTAATAAGCACTAGTGTCATCTTTCCCACACTTTATTTACGCACAGCTTCTCCTATAATGAGGTCACTATTTGTGATCTCCCATCTATCCTAAATAGTATGCTTTACAAATAAAGCATGTAGGTGCTATCTTTAATAATTTTAAGTTCAGGATATTAAAAAGGCCCTCCCTTCTTAGTCTTCTCTCTTACTTGGTAGAACTCACACAAGTATCACTTTCTCAACACTTTTTGAGTCTACTATGTTGCATGCTCCACGGATCCTATCTAATAAAGAAGGAATATGCAAATTGACCATCACACATAACAAAGATAACAGTAGAGGTGGAGATCCTGTAACACAAGATGCCCACAGCAGAATCCGAGTACCCGTAAGGAGCCTTAATGAGCAATCAGCAGGGACCTGAAGCTGCAGGATGCTGACCGGGGCAGGAGACCTCAGGCCACACACCCTGCCCCAGCATCAGGCTAGGGGACCTCAGGCCATACCCTCCGCCCTGGCACCAGGCCAGGGGACCTTAGGACTCACCCCCTGCCCGGCAGGGCTTGACGGGGGACCTCAGGCCATGTCTCCTGCCTGGCAGAGCTTGATGGGGGACCTCAGCACACAACTCCTGCCCTGGTGCCAGGCCAGGAGACCTAAGGCTCTGCCCCCTGCCCAGTGGGACTTGTCAGGGACCTTAAGGCATGCCCCTTACCCTGGCCCAGGCCAGGGGACCTCAGGCTGTACACCCTGCCCTGGCACTGGGCCTGGTGACCTGAGGCCACACCCCCCCCATCCATCAGGGCCTAACGGGGGTCAGGTGGGCCTGGTCTAGATCTAGCCCAATGGGGGTGGAGCCAGCCAGGTCTGAGTCTTGCACAATTTCGCAGGGCACATGGGTGGGTGGGGACTTGACTTGGTTCCAGTGGCACGCCCCAGCTCTGACAGGAGGAAGATTTTCATATACATTTTACTATTTTTCTTTCATTCCGACACTTCTTTTATAGAGAAAGGGCAAATAGCAATATTAAAATATTGCTCAAATTTCCTTTTAATGTACACGAATTTCATGCACTGGGTCACTAGTTTGATTATTATATGTTCCAATGGATGATCACGATTTAAGAAGTACATATATTTTCCCTAAGTATAAAAGAAGTACATATTAATTATGGCTATTTTTGCTTTAAAATTTTTAATTTTCATATATAATTCAAATGCCTAGTTCAATTTAATGGTGTTTACTATATTGATGGAGTTGTACAACCATCACCACAATCAATTTAGAGCATTTTCATCACCTCCAATCAGAAATCCTATGCCCATTAGCTGTCAATCCCCTTTTTCACCTAAACTCCCAAACTCTAGGCAATTTGTAGTCTATTTTTGGTCTCCATAGATTTTCCTATTCTGGAAACATCATATAAATAGAATGGTATAGTGGGTAGTCTTTTGTTTCTGGCTTTTTCACTTGACAATTTTTCAAGATTGGCATTTTCCATATATCAATACTTCATTCCTTTTTATTGCAAAGTAATAATTTGTTGTAAGCATATACCATACTTCATGCATTTATCATTTGATGGACGTTTGGGTTGTTTCCACTTTTTGGATATTGTGAATCATGCTACTATGAGCATTGTGTACAATTTTTTTTGTGGGGACATACGTTTTTATTTCTCTTGGGCTTTTATCCAGGAGAGGAATTACTCTGTCACATAATTCTCTGCTTAGTGTTTTGAGGAACCTCCTGAATTGTTTTCCAAAGTAGCTACATCATTTTACATTCCCACCAACAGAACATGAGGGATGTGGATTTCTCCACATCCTGTCAGTACTTGGTACTGTCTTTTTTATTATAGCCATCCTGTTGGGCGTGCTTTGATTTGTATTCCCCTATGACTCGTGATGTTCTTGAGTTTTTTGGCTGTTTGTATATCTTCTTTAGAAGTTTCAGTTTCTATCATTTGTATATTTTGAAATTAGATTTTTTTGTCTTTTATTATTGAGTTTGTATATTATTTTTATTTGTGAATGCTTTTACTTCATTTTTACAACTCATAATATGATGAGTTGTAAAAATGTTTAAATTTTTAATAAATTGTAGTCCAGAAAATGCCATTTCAGGACTACTAGCATTCGTTGTTTTACAATTAATTTACGTATTGGTTATCCTTTCTTGAAAGCAAAATCAAATAGGGATAAATGATGCAGTTTTAATTGGGTATAGAATAATAATTAGATAATGTAATAAAAAGCTAATCTCTAGGGAATCTTTCATTGTTGTGTTGGTAGTTACTCTCTATCCCCAGGCTTAATGTAGCAATCAAAAAAGGAAAGCTCTTGGAAACATTGTCATAACATGTTTACTTTAGTGGAATGAGTTGACAGTTTCTTTACTTCCCTATGGAGGGCTCCTAATAAGATAGTGTTTATTACACTGTTGTGCACATTGGTTTAACAGCCACAAGTGTCTGAAATAAAGGCAAATTAACGTGCAGCCAAATTAGAAATTTCAATAGTTTTTCATGTTAAACATTTACATAATCAGCTTATTTTAGTGAGAACTAAACGAAAAGCTGTAAGGTTTATTCTTAAAAGAAATACAGGAGCTGTTATTTTGAAAGGCACCCAGAAAAGTTTTTACTTTCTCTTTGCAACTCCCCGCCCCCCCCCCAACCCCCCTTTAATCTATGCTGTTGCAAGTCACTGATTCAGTATCTCAGTATCTCTGGTATAGTCTCATGTGAAAGTAGTTTGCTTTATATGTTAAAATTAAAAACATTAAAATGCCTGCCCCCCCTTTAATGTTTTTATTGATTTGAGAGAGAGAGAGAGAGAGAGAGAGAGAGATTCCCTGACCATGAATCAAACCAGTGGCCCTTTGGTGCAATGCTCAACTGAATCACACCAGCCAGGGCTATGCCTGCCTGCCTTGAATCAGATTCTATATCTTTTTAATAATTTAGAATAATGTATGATAAATAATATTTAGAATGAAATGCTTGTTCTTATTAATAATATATATTTAATATGTTTTTACTGTTTTTATAGGAAGAGAGAGAAAGAGATATTGATGTGAGAAACATCAGTTGGCTGCTTCCTGCACGTGCCTACTGGAGATGGAGCCTGCAGCCTAGGCATATGCCCTGACAGGGAATCGAATCTGGTACCTCTAGTCCATATGGTGATGTTCAACCAACTGAGCCACACCAGCCAGGGCTGCAAGTGAAATTTTAAGAGAAATGGGAACATAAAAATAAAAACAAAAGTTGCTTTTAAAACAAAAACTTTAAATGTGTTATAAAATAAGATTGCCTAAAGCATAATTTTCCAGAATCATGGAGGTGAATTATTTGAATTTTTTTTTTTCAATTACAGTTGACATTCAATATTATTTCATCTTAGTTTCAGGTATAAGTGTAGTGGTTAGACAATCATATGATTTAGGAAGTGATCTCCTCCCCTCCCCCCTCCTTAATTTTAGTACCCACCTGGGAATCCATTGACTCTTAATGCTTAATTTTTCATTCATAAATAGTAAATTGCTTAGGATAATTTGACTCTATATTCATATTTTAAATAGGGTTTACTAGCATTGGGTGGAAAACTAGACATTTACCCTTGAATGTAACCTAAAAAGTGGTTTTTTAGTTCGAAGAATTAGATTCTACTTTGTCTTTTAGTTAATTAATTTTAGAGAAAGAAAAAAACCCCACATTGATTTATTGTTCCATTTATTTATGCATTCACTAGAGGCCTGTTGCACGAAGATTCATGCAATAGGCCTTCCTTCCCCTTGCTGCCACACCGGTTTTCCTCCAGCACCCGGGACCCAGGCCTTCCTCCAGCCGCAGCAGAGCTGAGGCTTCTCAGCACAGGCAGCAGTGGGCTGGGATTCTCCTCTCTAGCCACAGCAGAGAAGCCAAGCCTCTTCAGTCTTTAGTCTTCATTTGTATTCAGTCTTCGCTCAGACCAGAGCTTCAGTCTTCTTTGTTGGGTTAATTTGCATACTCACTCATGATTGGCTAGTGGGCATCATGCAGGTACAGTCAATTTGCATATTTCTCTTTTATTATGTAGACTAGTGGCCCAGTGCACAGAATTTGTGCACAGCAGGGAACCTGGCCTGCTCCCTCTCTAATCTGGGACATCCCCCTCACAATCCAGGACCACTGTCTTCTAACCGCTCACCTGCCTGCCTGCCTGAGCGGCCCTAACCACTCTCTATGATGGCCTCATTGCCATCATGCCCCCAACTGTCCCCCCTTTTGGTCTAATCATACCCAACTGCCCTCTGCCAGCCTGCTTGCCCCCAACTGCCATCCCCTGCTGGACTGCTTTTCCCTAACCGCCTCTGCCTTGGCCTCACCACCATGTGTTTGTCAGGAAGGACGTCCAGAAGGTTTCCTGAAAGGTCTCCCAGTCTAATTAGCATATTATCCTCTTTTTTTTTTTTTTTAAATATTTTATTGATTTTGTACAGAGAGGAAGGGAGAGAGATTGAAAGCTAGAAACATCGATGAGAGAGAGTCATCGATCAGCTGCCTCTTGCATACCCCCTACTGGGGATGTGCCCGCAACCAAGGTACATGCCCTTGACCGGAATCGAACCCGGGTCCCTTCAGTCCCCAAGCCGACGCTCTATCCATTGTGCTAAACTGGTCTCGGCATATTATCCTTTTATTAGTATAGATTGGTTGCTTCTTGATATGCTCTAAATGGAGATAGAACCTGCAATGTTGGTGTATTGGGATAATGCTTTAACCAACTGAGCTACCCCAGCCAGGGCCTTAATTTTTTCTTTCTTGTCACTTTTATAATTACTGAAGTATGTATGTAATTTTTATTTAGAACTACTGCACTAAAGGGAGAAAGAGCCCAGCCACGTGGCTCAGTTGGTTGATCGTAGTCCCATGCATTGAAAGGTTGCAGTTAGGGCACATTCATGGTTTCTTGCAGGTTTTATCCCCGGGTGGGGAGCATATGGGAAGCAACCAATTGTTTCTCTTGCACATTGATGTTTTGTTTTTTTGTTTTGTTTTATTTTGTTTCCCTCTCCCTTTCTCCCCCTTCCTCTTGATAAGCATGTCCTTAAGTGAGGATTTATAAATAAACAAACAAAAGGAGACAAATTCTTAAACTTGTGGGATTGTCTCTCAAGAAAGGCTGTTATTTTAAGAGTAATTTAGTATCTTTCTTACATGCATAAAGCTTCCATACAGCCCCTTAACTTATGAACAAGCTTTTTACATTTTAGTAAGCATTCTCTGCAATGTGAAATTGATTAGAAAGTTAATATATAACACTTGCTGAATAAATAAAATGTCTTTCTATATGTTATTTTTGGAAGGAAGTGAGTGAAGATTATATAAATCATTAAAATGAAGATCTTATACTATTGTTTTATGGTGTTAGACATCACTTGAACATAAAGTATTAATAGTATGGAAAACAAATAAACATACCAACTCAATTGGCTGTGGAGACAGGGGTAAGTGACAAAATACAGGGAAAAGACTTCAGGAAATAGGGAACAGAAAGGAAGTGGTTTAAAGGATGCTTTACCTAGGGATTATTTGGTTTAGTTTGTAGAGTCTGCAGGTCTGGATCTGCTCTACCTTTGTTTTCTTTGAAATCATATAATCTTTCCACAACATTAGTGTAATGTGACAGTAAATAGTGTAATCATACTTATAGTCATTCAGTTAGCAGATTTTACTAAATGCTCACTGAGGCCAACTTTTGTTTTAGACCTGGAGGTATATGAGAGATGGGGGAGAAGAATGGATTAAGAAGGCATCTTAGAAAAAGTGAAACATAAGCTGAGATATGAAAAATGAGTAGAAAATAGCCTTATAAAGCAGAGAGAGGAACCAATTTGCTTCTGGAGGAGAAGACCAGAGAGAATTGATATAAGGCAAGGACGTTGTAAATCATCTTAGGGGAGTTGACTTGATTATCAGTACAAGGATAAGCTGAATTTTTCAAGAATCACTCTGGTAGTGAGGTTGGGAAATGGACTGTAGAGAAAAAGAGGTGTGGAGATCACCATTAAGACATTGTTGGGCTAATTCTGGTGAAAGATAGGAATTGGGGAGATGGACTAAGTTAGTGAGGTTAATGCTTGTAGAGATGGAGAGAAAGAAATGAATGTGTTCAATAAAGATTTAAGAAGCCTGATGGACAAGACTTAATTGGATATTGGGGTAAGAGAAATATTTTCAGGGTTATTTTGGTTTGGATACCTACATATATGCTGGTATCTAAAATAGGGAAGTAATGGTAATGGCAGGGTTTTGGGGGAGGGGGTGATCATTAGTTCAGTTTTGGACATGTTGAGTTGGTATCTGAAAGGAAAAACTCTTTCTTCTTTTTCTCTCTACACTTATACCAATACTCTGGCTGCCCAGTGTGTGTGAGTTGACTACAAATCAGTTTGCATGATCCTTTTTTTGTGTTCAATCATTTGGTAGAACATCTAGTTTATTTACTAGACTATAGCCCCAGGGCATGGATTTGTGCACCAGTGGGTCCCTCTTGCAATCCAGGACCCCTCAGGACGTTGGAGGCCCAGTGCATAGATTTGGCCCAATTCCTACAGGCCAGGCTGAGGGACCCCACTGGTGCACGAATCCGTGCACCGGGCCTTTAGTATGCATATAAGATCTTTGGTTAATCTCTTCCTGCCCCCCCCCCCTTTTCCTCTCCCCTTCCCTCTGAGATTTATCAGTCTGTTCCATGTTTCCATGCCTGTGTGTTGAGCATCTGCACCCTGGTGGTCAGTGCCCATCATAGTGAATGGATAATCAGTTGCTTAGGCTTTAATATATATAGGTTACTGGTTTATCCTGCCTAATAAAAGAGTAATATGCAAATTAACCATCATTCCACTTAAGCCATTCCCACCAGCTATGCCCACCAGTCAATCAGAGCAAGTATGCAAATTAACCCAACCAAGATGGCTGTAGCCACAGAAAGTAGTTGAGAGGCTTGGGTTTCCCCGACAACGGAAGCCAAGCTTTCCAGACACATTGGCCAGCTTAGTCCTCCACTTAAGGCTACAAAGGTTCATAAAAGTTTGGGAACAAAAAAGTGGCTGTTTTGGTTTGTTTCTTGCAGGGAGAAGAAAGAGGAAAGGGCTTATAGTGAGGTTGATCAGGGAAAGAAGCCAAATTGGTAAAACAAAGTCTCTTGTGGATTGATATTCATAAGAGTGGCATATCTCATATAAATCAATCAGAAATATAACTAATGTATTGGTTATTGATGTACACTACATGCTGTTCCTGTTGGCAAACTGTTAAAAATAATCCAAATCACAGTCATAATATCGATATCAGGGTGATCACTTCATAAGGTATATAAATGCCTAATCACTATGTCGTGACGTGACACTAATGTCTATAGAATGTAGTTGAAAATAATTTATGAAATAAATTGAAAAAATTTTTGAACAAAGCATTAGAAATGAATGGGCTCACTGGCTATATAATTGATGTCATTTTCCTGTCTTGCCTACAGAAGGTTGCTTCTAGAGTTGAGGAAGAAGGGCTCCTTTCACTTTTACTTTCACTTTCAGTAGAATTCTAAAATAGTTTGGATTTGGTTTTAAATTTTGTCCTTTTTGGAAAGAAGACATATAGTAATGAGTGTTGTCAACAAACTAATTTATAAGACTCTTGCCATTATTTTTGTACCTAAAAGAAAATAGAGTAGATTTATTTAAATTAGTTTGTTGACATTATTTAAAACTTTTTTCTTTTTTCTTTTTTTATAGAAATGGCTGCAATCTACTGACCTCACTAGAGAAGTATACCAGCATTTAGCCCACTATGTGCCCAAAATCTACTGCAGGGGTCCCAACCCTTTTCCACAGAGAGAAGACATGCTGGCACAGCTAGTCTTATTGGGACCAATGGAATGGTACATTTGTGGCGAAGATCCTGCATTTGGATTTCCAAAACTTGAACAAGCAAACAAACCTTCTCATCTTTGTGGTCGTGTTTTTAAAGTAGGAGAGCCTACTTACTCTTGCAGGTAAAATATTATCATTCTCTTTATAATAGGCTCTTGTTTTTACTTGACTTTTTTTCCTCCTGAAAACATATCTTTGTTTTTAAATTATGAAGTGTGTGTGTGTGTGTGTGTGTGTATACGCAGCATGTATATGCAGTATAATAAGTAATTATGAAAGAAACATTCATGAAGTTATTTTCCAGGTCAAGAAGTAGAACATCACCAGCATCCTAGAAACTCACTGTATGCTTTCTTCCTACCCCATAATTAACTGCTTTCTTGACTCTTGTAATAATGACTTTTTTCCTTTTCTTTCTTTCTTTATTTTTTAAAATATATTTTATTGATTTTTTACAGAGAGGAAGGGAGAGAGATAGCTAGAAACGTCGATGAGAGAGAAACATCAACCAGCTGCCTTTTGCACACCCCCTACCGGGGATGTGCCCGCAACCAATGTACATGCCCTTGACCAGAATCGAACCTGGGATCTTTCAGTCCGCAGACCAACGCTCTACCACTGAGCCAAACCGGTTTTGGCTTCTTTTTTTTTTTTTCTTTTTTTTTTTTAATATATTTTTTATTGATTTCAGAGAGGAAGGGAGAGAAAGAGAGAAACATCAGTGATGAAAGGATCATTGTTTGGCTGCTCTTTATGCCCCACACTAGGGATTGAGACTACAACCCAGGCAAGTGCCCTAACTGGGAATTGAACTATGCCTCCAGGTTCATAGATCGACTCTCAACCACTGAGCCAAACCGACTAGGGTGGTTCTTGCTTTTCTTGATCATTTTTCAGTTACGGTGATTCTTTTTGATGTTCATATTATCCCATATCTGTGGAAACCTCATCACACTAGCATGCTTATCCTTTTTATATACCTTCATTAGTGTTTGAATACTCCTTTAATTTCTGTCTCAAAATGTCCACAGCCTACTATTTATTATTCTGACCCATATGCACAATCATGTTACCGACCAAACTGGATCTAAATGCTCAGTAGTTGCCAGCAAAAAGATGATTTTATGAGAAGGAACTTTATTGTGAGCCAGCAAGCAAAGACAAGTATATAATCCATATTTATTAGAGGAAATCATGCACTAGCATCAAGGTAGATTTAGTTATTGCATGTGTAGGTAAGGACACGCCAGCACTTGCACCCTTAGGAAACATGCTTAAACATACATTGCATGTGCAAAAATGATGGAAAAATATCTGCAAATCTACCCGTGGGTGGAGATTTTTGTGTTTTAATGAGGAAAGTTCATGTGGAGGTAACTGAAGGGTTCTTCAGGCTGCTCCAGACAGTCTCCGGTGATTTTAGCTGGTTCACCCCCTGGTCCAGCAGAATATCCTGGGCTTGATTATGAAAAACATTAGTAGCAATTATCAACATCAGGTATTGTGTAGGTATGGATAAACATCTGATTAAATTTTGGTCTTTCTGTGAAACTTTCAGTAAACTTTAAAGATAGCGTTACATAAATCTTATAAATTTTAGAGTGATCTAATCAGGGTTACAGGTTATTCAAGGCAGTTTCCTTTTAGTTGGGAATGGTAGTTAGGAAGCAAGATATGGGGTGTTACAGGTACCAACTGCTACAAGATGTGTTGTTTTTTGTTTTGTTTTTTTCAATTTCTCGTTGGATATTGAGTATGTAAAAGTAGAATATAGAGAGGAAAGTGCTCATTTCCTTTATGATTTTCTATTCCTGTTTGTCAGAACTAATCATTATTAATATTTTACTGTGTATCCCTCTAGGAAGTTTATATGCATAAGCAGGCATATATATCTATTCTAGAGGCCTGATGCATGAAATTTGTGGAAGGGGCTCGACCCTCTCAGCCTCTGTGGCTTCCCTCAGTCCTCACAGCCCTGGCTTCTTCTGGAAGGTTGTTTGGCTATCCGGTTTAATTAGTATATTCTTTTATTATTATCCCAATATATAAAAATCCAGGGTGCATCATGTCCAAAACGACCAAAGGCTCAACCAACCAGCAGTCAGTCCTACCGCTGCCAGCATAGTGACCCAGCACTGACTGCCGGAGAGAGGTCTGGAGAGAGAAGCAGGGTCTTATTTGTAGCCTCAGTAGCAGCTGTTCAGCCCTTGCCTCACTCTTTTTCTCCAGGCCTGGCCAGCAGCCACACCTCTCTTTCTTTCCGAGCCTCTGCGAGGGCTGCTGATCAGCCCAGCCTCTCTGATTAGGCCCAGAAATAGGCCCAGAGATGCTGACTGGCATAGAAACCGACCAATCATAACCAAATCTGAGTGAACTGTGAGGAGCCAATGGCTGCCTAGGAGACAGCTTTTGACACTGACTGGCGTAGAAACCGACCAATCAGAACCTAATCTGGTGAACTGTGAAGGCAGTAAGATGGGGGTTGAGGAGGGGTTTTAAGGGCAATAGCTGTTTGGTATAGGTGTAAGAAAGTGTTTCAATTTTTTAATGACCGGTTTGGCAGTATAGTGTATATGGCTGGCTATCAGTCCAGATATGGGGATTATGTATTTTTGTCTGCCAAGAGTATCTCCTCCTGCTGAAAAAGGAGGAGATGCTTTTTAGGACCCCCCCCCCCCATTTAAGCAATCCTATCCTATATAATCTATCTATATTAATTATAGGGTAATATGCTAATTAGGCCAGGTCAACCAGCCATCTTCCTGGTGTCTCACTTCCTTGCAGACAAAGCCATGGTGGTGGGGGCTAAGGCAGAAGCAGTTAGGGGCAGTCAGGCTGGCAGGAGAGGGAGTTGGGGGCGAGGTCAGACTGGCAAGGGAGAGCATTTGGGGGCGAGATCAGGCTGGCAGGGGAGGGCAGTTGGGGGTGAGATCAGGCTGGCAGGGGAGGGCAATTAGGAGCGATCAGGCAGGCAGGCAGAGCGGTTAGGGGCAATCAGGTAGGCAGGCAGAGGCAGTTAGGGGCAATCAGGCAGGCAGACAGGTGAGTGGTTAGGAGCCAGCAGTCCCAGATTGCAAGAGAGATGTACACAGGGATTGGGCACAAACCGGCAGTTGGACATCACCCAAAGGGCAGATGCTTTGACTGGTATCTGTGATGTGCACTGATCACCAGGGGGCAGAAACTCATCACAGGAGATGCCAAGCTGCAGTGACTTGGCAGCAGCAGTTCTTGGGTGATGCACCCCGGAACCAGAGAAGAGGGAGTCCAATTCTGGGGTGTGTCACCCAAGAACCACCCTCTCGCAATCTGGGACCCCGCAGGGGATGTTGGAGAGCCAGTTTCGGCCAAATCCCCACAGGCTAGGTCAAGGTACCCCACCTGCCGGAGAGACCCCACTCACTCTGCAGATGCCCTTCCAAGCTGCAGCGCCACTCCAGGTGCTGCCAGCCAGGGAGGGACCGTGGGAGGTGTGTCCGGCCCATCTCCCGCCCTGCCAGCCACCTTCTAATTGATTTCCTTTCAATGTGCATGAATCTGTGCACTGAGGCACTAGTGTAAATATAATTATCTTATACATACGTATGTACAAATATACATACAAAAGGGAATATCCTTTCTAATAAAAGTAATATGCAAATTGACCATTACTCCAACACACAAAATGGCCTCCCCCATGTGGACACAAGAAGGCCTCCACAAGATGGCCTGCAGGGGAGGGCAATTGTGGGTGATTAGGCCAGTAGGGGAGGGCAGTTAGGGGTGACCAGGCTGACAGAAGAGGGCAGTTGGGGGTGACCAGGCCAGCAGAGGAGGGCAGTTGAGAGGGACCAGGTATGCAGGGAAGGGCATTTGGGGACAACCAGGCCTGCAGGGGAGGGCAGTTGGGGGCGACCAGGCTGGCAGGAGAGGGCAGTTAGGGATAATTGGGCTGGCAGAGGAGTAGTTAGGTGTCAACCAGGCAGGCAGGTGAGCAGTTGGGAGCCAATAGTCCTGGATTGTGAGAGGGATGTCCAACTGCACATTTAGGCCCGATCCCACTAGGGGGCCGTTGGACATCCCTCAAGGGGTCCCAGACTGGAGAGGGTGCAGGCTGGACTGAGGGACTCCATCCCCTTCCCCTGTGCATGAATTTCATGCCCGGGCCTCTAGTGTTATATATGCTGGGTTAAGTTTTCTTTCTCTGATTAACAAAATATTGACATCTGTTCATATCAGCTGATATATTCAGATAATCCATTGTGTGGATGTACTATTAATAGAGACATTGCATAACATTATTTTATAAAAATTTTTTGAAATTTGTGGGTAGGCCTCTGGATATCTGTGGTTATCTTTATCAGCATGGTTAGAATACCAATAGAGATAGAATGTCAGATCTCTTTTTTGTCTGCTTTACAAAAACATCTTTGAGTCCAATTAAGGATATTTGGAGCAATAGAACTAGTTAGCTCTCATGATTTACAGATGAGGAAACTGAGGTTCATTTGTTTCAGCAATGTCTTTTGTAGCCAAAGGAATCAGTTTCAAAGCATGTCTTTTAATTTGCAATCTGGAGCATTTCCTCCATTTTTCTTTTATTCTCACGATCTGGACACTTTGGAAGATCACAGGCCAGTTATTTTCTAAATGTCTGTTAATTTGGCTTTGTCTGGTAAATTTAATGATTTAAGTCAGGTTGTATCTTTCACAGAAATATCACAGAAGTCATCTGTTCTCATTGTACCCTATCAAGTAGCATATGATTTTGATTTGTTTGGTAACTGGTGATGTTAACTTAAATCACTTGATTAAGGAGATGCTGTAAACTTCACTATAAAGTTACTCTTTCACCTTCTGTAATCAGTATTTTGTGGGAAGGTATTTTGAAACTACTCTCTACTCCATTTCTTACCATTCAATTTATTCATTTATTTATATTAGTATGTATTCATGGTGTCCCATTATTCTTGTGCTCAAATTTTTTAGGAGGCTCTTCAAAGCTGTCTTCTTTGTTCTTTTTCATGTCCTTATCATTCTCTGAGTAATTCATTTTTCTTTCTGACACAAGATGTTTGGGGCACATTTTGGAATTTTCCCTTCCCCAGCCCTGAAAGCAAACATTTCTCCAAGAAGCCTGGTT